AAGAGAGAGAGAGAAAGTGAGAAAGCAAGCCGTCAGGTCCAGGACTCAAACCACACTCAGCCATATGAGAGTCCAGCAACCTCAACCATCACACCACTTGCCGGCCCCTCTCTTCACTTCTAAGAAATGAAACTGAGGGGCCAACAGATTTTAAAAACTGCTCAAGGTCTCGTGTGGTCATGCAGGGTCAGGACTGAAATAGAGGCAACACCTCTAACTCTTCAGACCAACCTGCCAGTGAGTTGGTCACACGGCAGGGACGGCAGGCAGGGCTGGGCTGCAGCTCTCCTTCCGCCCTCCTGGCATGGCACTTTCTATCTGGGAGCCACTCTGACCTGACAACCTGGGTGTAATGACCTAGGAAGCACCCTGAGGGCTTCCCAGTCCTTGAAGAAAGTAAGATTTACCTTTAAACTCGAAAAGGAGGTGTGTCAGGGCCAGGATGCTGCAGCTGACCATGGTTACCGCACCCACAAGGCCAGGGTAGATCAGGAGGAGGTAGCGCTGCAAGGCCTCTGGGGACAGACAGAAGGTCATGCTGGGCCAGGCCCACCAAGCTGGAGAAGAGCAGTCTGCTCGGGGCAGGGTGGGGCGGGGCGGTTTATGTGCTGCACTGGCAGCTGAGGAGCAGACATTTCCCAGCCCGGGAGCAGACATCGGCCCCAGCATGCATCCCCTGGGCCTCACCCTCCTGGTTTGAGCCGAACCGCAGGAAAGCATGGCCCATCTCCACCAGCAGGGCGAAGGCATTCTTCCGCGCGCCCACGGACACCTCCTTGGTACACAGGATCACCTGGCCCAGACAGCCCCATCAGCACGGACTCCTTGAGCCCGCCACCTTTGGCTGGACAGGCTGCCAAAGGCACCCGGTAGCAAATGAAGTCCACCCTCACCCCGTCACTGCTTTCCCTGGTCCCGACAGGCCCCAGGGAGCCACACACTAGGGGAGCCCCAAACACACACCACTGACCTCCGGGACAAGGGCAGCAATGAACTCCTCGTGCTCAGCCGACAGCTTCTTCACAATGTGTATGAGACACTTCAGACGGGGCTGTGGGCGGGGGCAACAGTCAGGACCCCTCAATGCCACCCTGCCCCAGATGCTCCTGCACGGCCCACGGCCCTCACCCTCTTGGCCGGTGAGGACGTGCTCCGCAAGGTGCCCAGCAGCGTGCTCTTCAGGTCGTCCAGGTGACTCTGCACGAAACGGGCCCCGGAGCCCAGGGGACTGGCGCACACCTCCTCCAGCACTCGGTAGGCCTTCTTCTGCACCCCGTGGGCCTTGCTCTGGGGGGTCGCGAAGGACAGGGACAGGTGAGGGGGGCTGGAGCCATTCACAGAGTGGCTAAA